ACTTGTTCCATTGCGCAACCATTGCAGAGATCAGATTTTTCAAATGTACATTTAGAATACAAAGCTATAATTACTGATATCCTAATGCTTCTGTTAAGCAGCAGTTCTAACTCGCAGTGCGTCAGTCACACTGATTCAATTTCAAGGACGAATTCAACTTGCACAGCCAAAGTGCTATAAACAGAGAATGCCAAAGGCACAATATGAAGGGCTAGAAATATTCTGCTCTAACTTGTTTTTTCCCCCTCTATTTGAAAGAACAGATGATTTGCTAGGTGCACAAACAGCCCAGAAAAAGCCTCTTCTTTCATTTTTTTTTTCCCCCAAGGGAATTGCCAGAGTATTTGCCTGAATATTACAAAGCCTTTTAGCTTCAGAGTAAGCAAAGCACCTAAGAGTGGGAGAGTATCAGGGCTGTCCAGGGTTGGATGGCAGCTCTGCACGCCTCCCCCACGTCATCTCTCCTAGTTTGGAAGAGCTGCTTTTGAAAACAGACAAGAAAAGCAGCAGCTCTTGCCAGTTGTTTGAAGGTCAGCGCTGCGAGTTTGGCCACTTCTCCCAAACCACGGGGTGATTTTTGGTCTCCGCTGATCTGCTAGTAAACCTAGAGTACAGAGAGAAAGTAGCGAGGCTGCAGTTTACCGCATGTAAACTGCGAAGGGAAAAAAATAAAGCAGAAGGGGGAAAACTGGTCAGGAAAGTGATAGATTAACAAAACCAGATATGGTACACCAGAAAAGAGTGAGAAATATAATCTTGCAGGAGCAGAAATTCCTGGTTAAGAGAAGTGGAATCTAGTAAAAATAATTAATGTTCTAGGAAAAAAACAGAGAGAGAGAGAGAGAGAAAGGGAAAAAATAGCAGTCTGCTGCTGAAAACAAAAGCAGCATAATGCAAATCTCTCCCCTTTGGTATCTGAGGTTTTTCCCCCATAGGTCTCTAACATCTCTTTGGACCTCTCCTACTGCTATCAGTGTATAAACAGAGACATAGGTTTTACAGGTTCATGTCCTGTTTTCATCCTCTGTAAATATCACCGTGCTAGTTCAAGTATATTTCTGCACAGACCTCTTCTTCCCAGGAAAGCTGCCAGGTCTTTTCGCGGTGCCACAAAGGCTAGTTTCCATGACATGTTGTTTTGTCTTGCTGAAGACCGAGGGAAAACCGGAATAATCTTTAAGAACAGCAAATAGGTTTGCTATCCCCAACAGGGTCAAATTCAGTTCTAAAGGCTGAGTTAGACCCCATACATCTGGAAAGCAGAGTGCTCTTGTCCGTGCTTGATGACTGCTTTTTGGACGGACGAAACTTGAAACCCGCCGGGTTTCCATTTCCAAGGTCTCTGGTCTCGGATTGGACAGCAGGAGGTTAACAGCAGAGCACGTTCCAAATGTTTTTGTAATGGGAGTAATCAGATTTTGTCCAAGATCAAAGCGTGTGTGTGTGTGTGGCACCACGCCACTCAAATGAGCTCTTTAAACTGCAATTTGGACATGTGTCAATGGAGGAGTCAGGGTTTTTGTTGTTGTCATCAGTGGGATTTTGTTGTTTGGGGGTTTTTTTGTCTTTTTTTTTTTTTTTTGGTTTTTTTTCCACAGAAACAGCTGCCATCAAAACGTACCTGCTGTGTTAACCCAGATATATAATACTAATGATGCTAACTATAGATACACAATCCCAAAAGCTAACAATGTTGTGGGGGCTTTAATTTATATATATTATTTCCCTCAGTGAAAAACAAACAAAAAGACACAGTCCTTTCTCTCAGGTTTCTATTTTCATCTACTGCTGTATTTTTCTTTAGGCTGTCTGGACACCTCCCGACGTGTCCCTCGGCCTCCCCTTTCTCACACCCAGTGCAGCGGGCGACGAGCTGAGGACAAAAAAAAAAAAAAAAAGAAAAATTAAAAGAAAAAGGAAAAAGGAGGGGGAAACTAAATAAAGCGGAGTGGTGTGGTGTAAAGCGCACTGCGGTGCCTCGCGGCTCCCGCGCCCGCGCGTGACGTCGTCGCGACCGTTACGACCGTTAGCGCGGCTCCCAACGGTGCCGAGGGGCGCGCGCGCGCGGCGGGCGGGGCG